TCCCCAATCCCCCCCTTCGCCGTACCTTCCCCCCTGTCCAGTCTGGACTCATTGGATTTGTTTAGCTTTTCTTTTTTTTTTTTTTAAAAAAACCCCTTTCAAAAATAAGAAAAATAAAAAAAATTTAATGCTTTCATGCAAAAATGACAGGTGAGTAAAAGCAAACCGGTCCTGAGAGCCCTTTTCCGGGGCCAAGCTCTCCAAGACTGCCAGAGCAAACTGCACCAGTTGGCCTGGACTCCTTCTGCAAGGGAAAGGGGGGGGCCAAGTGCTGGTCTCGGGGTGCCCCCGGCCCCCACCACGGTTGGGTCCGGGCTTCCCCCCCGCCAGCCCCGGCTTGCCTAGAGGAGCAGCAGCAGCGCCACCACCGCTCGTCATAACTCGGTGATCTCCAGCGGGCTCTCCATGATCACCTCCCGCATCTTGTGCAGAGGGGTGGACTTGGCCGACTCCGTGCGGGCGTTGTGGTCACTGTAGCCCCCACAGTCGGTGGTCAGAGTCTCCAGCGAGCGACCCAGCACCTTCTGGTCATCTTCAGGCAGGCTGTTGAGGTCGGAGGCAAGCAGCGTGCCTGTGCTGCCGTGCACCACATGGATGCCGTCGGGACCTTTCAGCTCTACCGGCTGCTTGTGTCGGAAGCGGAGGCTGCGCTGGCTGGGCCTGCGCTCCTCTTCCTCCTCCTCCAGCTCCTTCTGGATCAGCTGCAAAATGTCCACAAAGTAGGGGAATCACCACCATGGCCAGAGCAGATCCTGGCTTCCCTGCCTCCAAACCTTCTGCAATGTCAGAGGCCAGCAGGAGAGATGGGACCATGCTCTTCTGAAGCAAACTCAGAGCACGGTGATGAGGATCACCAGCGAGATGATGATCTCCAACTGGATCACTCACGTATGGGATGGGCGCCCTGGCTCAGGCACTGGCTGCCAGACGGATGTTGTGGCCGGCAGCAGCCCCTGCAGTGGCCTGGCCGAGGTGTTTGGACCCGAGCTGAGGTTTGGAGTTGTATGAGGGTGGTGGGACAGGAGACAGACATGGAGAGAAGTTGAGGGAAGGCTGGATATGGTGGAGGAGGATAAGGGTGAGGAGGGACGGGGGCAGAAGGGCTGAAAGGTATCTGCCATCCCACTACTCTCCTCCACTCTCTCTGCTCCATGTTTTGCCCCCATGAAGAGGAAGAAGGCTGCAGGAGGAGCTGCTTCTCCCCACACCAGCTCTCCTGCACCAAAACCCTCTGTCCCAGACTTTTTGCCTCAAAAACCTGCTGGGTTGATAAGCTGAGAGGAGGAGAGGGGAGGGAAGATGTCCTTGCATGTGTGCAGGGACCTGCAGCTTCCGGGCCAGCCTTGGTGGAGCAGCTGTGGCTTTGCTGGGAGACAGGGAGGTGATGGACATAGCACACCCCGCAAAGAAGGGGGTCCTCCCCCAGGGTAGCAGAGACCGAGGAAGAGGGTGCTACTGGTGCTCAGAGGAAAGATGGGGGGGTCATGAGAGCTGTGGCACTGTGGGGAACTGGCAGCCTCAGTGGAAAACCAGCGTCTGGCTCATTTTGATTTTGGCCAAGGAGGGAATGGGGGGACTGCTGGGTGACGGGGCCTGTGGCCGCGAGGAGCAACCGCAGCCTGCGGGACCAGGAAGACACACTGCATCCCAGAGGGCACGGCAAGCATCTCCCCATGCCCATGCACACCCCGTCTACCTCCGAGACCGAAGAGCAGTCCCCCTGACTGGTGGTGGCCTTATGCACCATCCGCTGGGCAAAGAGTTTTTTCAAGCGCATGTAATCATCCAGGACCACCTTCAAGAGAGAGCCCTGGGCGGAGGGGGGAGAGATGACATGTTATCCAAGGAAGATGGTTTGGTTGGAGGGAGGCTGGCCTCATCCCAGCGTTTTTTGGAGCAACATCACCTGCCGACGCCACAGCCATGAACCTGGAAGCCAAAGCGGTAGAAGACCCCTCGGTGGACGATGCCCGCACACATCACTCACCTTGATGGGTCCCTCCCGCATGATCTGCCCCAGCTTGGCAATGTTGTCGTACTCCTGGATGGCTGCCCGCAGGTAGCGATCATCCTCAGGTTTGGCCGCGGAGGGCTCTCTCCCAAAGGTCCCCTGTGGGAGGAGAAAGCAGCTGAGGAGGTGGCGCTGGCGTTGGGCATGGGGAAGAGGCATCGCGGCAGGGACTGTGGCTCACGTGAGTGCGGGCAGGGCTGTTCCAGAGGTCGGTGATCTCACTCAGGTTCTCCGGCAGATCATCCTCGTGCTCTGCCTGTGCTGCCAGCTCCATGTTCCTGCAGAAGGGGTCCAGCCACACCGGGTTGGCCCTGCCCGGGGGAGAGGAGCAGCCCTCAGCACATGCAAAGAACAGCTGAAAACCCAGCAGCATCCCCAACCCCATCCAGAGCCTGGATGCTGAGGTTCACTGCCTCCTCCTGCCCTTTGCAGACATGAATTTGGCTCCTCTGGATCCAGATGTGAGTCAACACCTTCCCATCGTCTCTGCTTACACCAAGCCTGGCCAGCATTGGCAGAGATGGAGTCACAGGAGAAAGAACAAGGTCTTTTGGCTTTGAAAGCTCTCAAGGCAAGCACATGTGCCAGGGCCAGTCATGCCGTGCACAGCATGCCTGACTGCATCCTTCCACAGAGAGGCATCACGTCTCCACCTCCTGCACATCCTTGGCTGCAAAACGCAGCTGTCCCTCTCTCAGGAGCAGCAATGTGTCATGCTGTACTGCACGAGGTGGTAAACCACGGAGCAGAGGCCAGGGGACAACTCACCCATCAAACGAGTACTTGTTGGTGTTTGGCATGTCCATGATGTCCATGAAGCCTCTGTTCCCTGTAAAAGGCAAGGGTGGGGGTTACAGGGTGGCACGTCGGTGGGCTGAGCAGCAAACCAGCCTGGCTGTGGGCATTGGAGGGACTTCTTTACTAGGGAGGGAAACTCGGTGACCGAAAAGGCACCAGAGGCACGAGAAACGTGCTGGGATGAGGCTGATAATGGAGAGCCTGGACGCTGAGAAAAGCCTCCCATCATTGTGCCTTGCTGGGCAGGATCGCCTCTGATTTACATCTCGCTGTCATCCCCCACGTCTCCCCCCCTCCGTGCTGGTCATGCAGCTGGAAAACCCCAAACACTGCTCACCGGTGGAGCCAGCCACTATGGCTTTCAATTTCCTTTTGTGCCTGCAGAAGAAATACAGCAAATCAGGGAAGAAAACAGAGAAGATGCTCAAAAGGAGAGAGGGATCCAGATTTGCAATAACCCTGCAAACAGCCCCTGTATCTATAAGGACAGTGAGCTTGGCGGGGAGAGGCAATACCAGTATTAAAACCACCATATTTTGGGGGAAGAGGGGCAATTTCTGAACCCAGGTTGAGCCCTGCCGCAGAAGGTGTTGGGAAGGTGGTGCCCTCCTTTGCTTGCTGGCACTGCCACGCAGGGCCCCCTGGACCGCGGGGACATTGTGGCTGGCAAGGAAGAGCCAGGGTGTTACTCACACTGTCCGGTAGTACCAGTTCATGAGGATGAAGAGCATGGCAGCCAGGAAGAGCAGGACGGCCAGCACGATGATTGCCATCTGGGAGAGAGAGAGGGGTAGTGGCAAACTAGCACAGAGTCAGCGCCGGTGGTGGGCAGATGCCCGAAATCATTTGGGTGAAACTTCTCTCCTAGCCATGGAGGGCCATGGAGGAAGGGAAGGGACATTGCCCCAGTTGCGAGCAGAAGCTATCTCCAGCTCCAGCTGGGCCATTACCTGCAGAGCCGAGAGGTCATCTGGGGCCCGAGCAGTGATGGCAGGCTGCACGTCCAGCACGTTGTAGTTCCTGAAGAGGTTCCTCAGCTGCTCTTTGTTCTCATCTATCATCTGAATCACCCTGGGAAGAGAAAGGTTGCTTGGGCGTCTTGATGTTAGGTGAGGCTCCCCGAGGACTCAACAGACCAGGCAATGTGCTAGGTGATGGGCCATGTGACGTACCGCTCCACATCCAGGATGCGGTTGGTCTCCCTGTTCACCACGTGGATCAGCAGCTCTGTCTGCGCAAAGTTCACCCGACCTTTCTTGTCAACATGGAACTGGAGAGAGACAGCAAGGTCTGCAGTGCAGGAGAGGTGTCTCTTCCTGGGGCATCTCCCGAGTGTGCCCTGAGGTGTGCTCATGTGGCAAGAGATCCTCAAGCCTGGCATGGGGTCGGTCTGGACCCCTTCAATACACCTCAGCCTGGGGGGTATTTGTCACCTTCAGAGCTCAGGGGTGCTTATGGTTTATACAGACAGGGCACTCTCAAAGGAGACCTCCCAAGAAACATGTGGAAGATTACCTGCTCCTCAAAGCAATCTCAAAGGTGGATGGTTACCTGCACATCATCTGTGTTGACAATGGCACCCGTGATGTTGGAGAGCAGGCTGATGAACTCCTCCTCGAACTGCCTGACTTTGTCAGGGATCTCGTTGATTATGATTTTGACCCGCTGGTCATCCCGTAGGATGTAAATCCCTACAATGGCTGTGTCATTGTGGCCCACCAGGTCAGAGGCCATGATGTCCACCACAAAGTAGCCAGGATTGTAGGCGGTGAAGAGGTCGAAGGTTCGCAGGATCCCATCAAGGGTTCCTGGGGGAAGCATGGTCACAAGCCCAGGATTAGTGACCCTGGCCATGGGGACATCTTTGGCCACAGCAACGTTTCTGGCCACAGCCCCGTGCTCCTGCAGCATGCAGGATATGTACCAATGCTGAAGACGTTGGCCACCTCCTCAGAGTCATTGGAGTGCTGCTTGATGTAGCGGATTCCCAAGATGTTGTACAGGACCAGGCTGTTATTGCCCACATCGGCGTCCACTGCAACCACTCTGATCAGCTCCGATCCCACCTTGGCGTCGGTGGCAACCCCTTCAAGAGAGAGATGGGACAGGGACCTGGGGCCGGGCTGGCTCTCACTGCCCCTTCACCCAGCTGAATTTTCCCTGGAGCATCTCTGGCTCCTGGTGCCCATCCAGCCCCTGGCTGCCCTTACCCGCAGTGTACTCCGACTTGGTGAACTGTGGGGACTGGTCGTTGATGTCATCCAAGAAGATCCGCACCTCCTGAAGTGTCAGGTCCCCGGTGAGGTCCCAGAGCTGAGTCCTGCCTGCCCGCTGGCCCCGAGGAGGGGACCAGTTCCTCTGGCTGGATGCTTTGACAATGATGGAGTAGTATGGCTCCTTCTCCCGGTCCAGGTCTCGCAAGACCTGCAGCTTCCCCTCCCGGCTCAGCTGGAAGTTGTTCTCCCTGTTCCCAGCTGGGTGCAGAAAAGGGACCCCAGTTAGTCCCCTTTGGGCTCAGCATTTCTGAAACGCCACCTCGCCTGTTGACCAGGGCAGAAAGGCAGCGAGGAGCTGACGGCAGCGATGGAAACGGTTGGCGAGGGGTGTGCAGGTGGATGCAGAGCTGCCCATCCCCTCCCGGCTCGGCACTCACCTGCTATGAAGTAGTAGACTATGGCATTGGAGCCCTCATCTGCATCCACAGCCCCGGTGACGTTCCCCACCACGGTGCCTGGCTGTGAGTGCTCAGGGACGGAGAGCACCTGGTACTGGGGACTGTCCCTCTGCCAGAGACCCCGGAAGAAGGGAGGGTTATGAGCATTGAGGTGGCGCTTTTTTTTCACTTTGCAGGACAAAAAGCAGACAAATCCCATCGTGTTCCCCGCTGTGGTGATGCTCAGATCCATCACGCGCTCGCAGGCATCCCCGTCCCTGCACCCCCGTGTCCCGTCCCTTCCATCCTGGTGCCTTACGGGTGGCCGGAGGAAGATGGGCTCATTGTCATCTATGTCATCGAGGGCAACCTGGAGGGGCTGCATGGTCTCATAGGCTGGCTGTCCCTGGTCGCAGGCCACGATGATCAGCTGAGGAGAGAAGAAAAAGCGCCATCCTGGGCAAAGCCACATGGGCCATGAAACATAGGTGAGGCAGGGACAGAGGGGACGGCTGGGTGGCAGAGGATTTGGAGGGGGATTTAAAAGGGAATTGGGAGTTAGGCCACCAAGATGCAACTCCCTAATGGCACTTGATAACCACCCAGTTCCTGCTAAGTTGTGATGACTGTGGCAGCTGACCCCATCCCCACCACATCACTTGCATCCTGCCAGCCCCGCACTGGACCCGCAGTCTTGAGGACTGTCCCAGCCACCCGGCAGGTGCGTTGCTGCCCAGCTCACGTTGTACACTGCCTGCTTCTCCCGGTCCAGCCGCATGGCCGTCTGGATCAGTCCGCTGACCGAGTCGATGCTGAAATACTCCCAGTCTTTGTTCCCTGCCCCGGTTTTCAGCAGATTGTAGAGCACTGCTCCGTTGAGGCCCTCATCTTTGTCCATGGCGTAGACCTCGTAGACGTTGGACCGCAGGGGGATCTCCTGCTTGCACATGTGCAGCCCCTCAGTCACAGCATTGCATGCAAACTGCCTGCTCCCCCTGCTCCTCCAAACCCCCTTGTCTCAGGGTCAGCAGGCTCCCACTGCCCAAAACCCAGCCATGGGCTGGCAACACTGAGCCATGTTTCCCTTTGGCAGGGTGGCTGCTCCACATGAATGCCAAGGACTGGCTGAGTCAAGCCTGGCTTCTCAGAAAGGAGAAACGTCTTAAATGTCAGCATTTTGGCCCTTGTTTACAAACAGGCTTAGCACGCAGTGACTGACTGTTTCCTTATTTTGTGTGCTGCCAGGGTTTCTGTTCCCCAAAGCTGCCCTGGCATCCCTGCTTGCATGAATGGAGAGGGGCTGTTGCTGACCATCCAGCCCCGTGACCTAAACCTTCCCGCCACATGTTGAATCAAAGTCTTCTTTCATCCCCGGTGGCGATGGAGAATGAATTTTGTCACTGGTAGGCAGGAGTGCTCCTGGGCACTGTCTCAATGTGCCATGACCCCTCTCCCTCCCAAGGGGTTTACCTCCTTGATGTGCAGGATGGTGCCGTTGGGTGGGCGGATGAAGACGGGGCGGTTGTCATTGATGTCAATGACCTCAATGTGGAGCATGGTGGTCCCCCAGAGAGGGGGGTGTCCCTTGTCCGTGGCCACCACGGTCAGGTTGAACCGCT